TGAGAATACCTTTTGGGGAGCAAGGCTATTTGAAATTCACTAGCAACGCAAGTTCTACTCATATCATCGTTGGAAAATTTAACCCCTAGTCCTTCATCAACTTAAACGAAATAGATGAATGCAATTGTTTCATAATGTGAAGCTAGAGTTAGTGGAGGTTCCTGTGAGCATTCGGTTCGAAGTAATATGAGAAGGAAATTAATCATTTGCCTCCGGGGCTTAAATAACAGGCTTCAAGGTAAAATAAGATTTCTGAGATAAATATAACATAAAGCTAAGAAAATGTTACAGCAGTTCGATTAGTCTTTTCTTAATAAAACTAAGGTATGTTAGTTCATCACTTCATACACACTCGTCCAACATGTTAGATTAAGCTCATCAACCAAACCAGACGTACCAGATTACGCAGCCGCAGTCATGCCTTTACAAGGGGGGTTGAACGTTAATGACTCTAGACTAAGAGGTTAGGACAAGTGGTTTCTTAACTTAACTTGCATGGAAGTTGCATGCTTACAAGCTTACATATAATTATCTTACGGACTTACGCGGTCTCGGTCAGGGCTTTGTTTGAGGTCATTAGGCCTTGATGACCAGAGCCTAACATTAACCTTTTGATAACTCTGATTTAGGACCGGTTTTGCGTATAGAAAAAGCCGGATAGTCTTCTTAGCCTAGTGTTAACGTTTGACTTTTACAAGAATGACACCCAGCTCTGATGATGTCCATCATATGATAGACGAAAGCTAAACACGTTTTCACCCGAAACGAGGGAGGAAGTGTCGTGGACTGCGTAAACATAAATATCGTATAAAAACCAAACGGCTGCAGTACGAGATTCATCCGTCCTCATCTGGTGAGATCGACCAACAAATCTCTTTTTCATGCACTTTCATACGAAATGAAGATCCCCCTAATAAGGTATGTTCGTTCCGCATTTTTGCTAGTGGCTCATCAAGAATCAATCAATCAATCCGCAACTGCATCTTGGTTTTAGATGCGAGGAATGGCTAGATTTCGACTAATGTCTAAATGCATCTTGAATGAAAATGAAATTCACACTAACTGATTAGAGCAAAGAAAGGACAGTCTCAGGAATTAAATTTCATTATAGCATAAAAAGTGGACTTGAATAATGTATGGCTATATGAACACTTTAAGCAGTTTGCAAATACTTTGAGAAAAATGAGTTGCTCACCCATTGGACAGGCCATAGGTGGGTAAAAGAGCGATATCGCCTTTTTGCTTCGACTCTAGGCTATCAGTGTCAGATAAAATCTTCACAGATAAAGTCTTAGAAGTAGGACCCTCTACAAGGCTGCAAGGAACCCGGTCTTGGGGCGATGAATGTGACATTCGATCGTCAGGGGATGGGCCAGGAAGGGAATTGCAAGGTTGACACCGACAGGAGAAAATACAGATTGAAGCGCGCTTAGGAGAGTCAATGCCTGAGCTCTGAGGTCCAATATTCGTGGTAGCCACCGATGCAGATAGTGACAGGGATGGTGAGACTAGATGGCATGCCGTTTGGTGGAAATTGGAAGTCAGCTGATCTGAAGAAGCCCAGTCGGCTTGCGGACCGATTTCACAGGAAGGCTCACCCGAACAGCTAGTTGTGGCCGGTTCTAAACAAGATGGAGAAGCTGAGTGTCGAGTAGATTCCTTCTGGTGCTGGTGGCGATGGTGGTGCATTGGATGACGGTATTTGTGCCGGCAGCAGAAACGATAACTTCGGTGGCGCTGTCTTCTCCAGTGCTGTAGCAGTTGATGCATGCGAGTCAGGGTCTCCTGAATAAGCCGACGATTCTTCTCTAGGATGGATAAACGTTCCTGAAGCGCAGTTCGCCTGTCAGGCACAACAGCCATCAGGTTGTAGCGGACATCCTGCTATCAAAATCGATGGATTGAGACAGACCAAAATAGCGTCTCAGAGATGAATCATCTGACAATAGAATCAGGGCAGTAGGACTAACTATTTTGGGTCGGATACCTACAAAAGGAACTATACTTTCCAGCTTTGAAAGGCATTTTCACAAAATTAAATCTGTAAAGGATACTTATGAAGAGTAATGAAATGACAGTAAGGAAATCCCGGGACGTTATATAAGTTGGATATGCGCATATGACCAAGGTATCTGGTTGAAACTCATAGTTAATGGATTTGGCTTGAAATTAAAATAAAGAAAAAGGAAGCTATATTTTCCTATTTTGTAAGCAAAATAGCCATCAATGCAAATAAACAGGCCGTGAGAATTCAGCTTGAATACTTGAGATTAGAAAAAAACGTAGATATGACATATGATCAATAAAAAATTATTTAGCCTAACGGAAAAAGTGAAATAAGGTGGCCCGGCATGATGCCATAGATCAAGTTGAAGAATGTTCCAGGTATAGACTCTAAATCTTTCGGGTTTAGTATTATTTACAGTTATTTTTCGTTCATAAGTAGGAGTTCGAGATTACTAGTAAATTAATTATATGAGATGTATTCACTCTATTTCGTTGGTGATTTTTTCACGATGATATCAGTAGAGCTGACGTTTCCATTGAAGTGCACATTGCCTTAATTTCCCATAAGGTGTTATTATCAAGGGTCGACTACAGTTTCAATCTTGCCTAGGTCTTATCAACATCCCCAGCGGGAGTGAGACCATAAAAGTGCAGCGTGTAATCTCGACACATTAACCACTACACCGCATTGCCCCGAGTTCCCTTATGTGATTTTATAGGAAGGCCAGAAATTTTCGCATATCATATTATTTGGTATGATTGTCGATAAAGCAAAGTTATATTTGTTATTTTTTGTGTATAAGTAGGGTTTAGAGACTAAAAGTAAATCAGTTATATTAGATGTATTCACCTTATTTCGGCTAAGGTGATGAAGGACAGGTAGTTGAATTTTCCCTCAATGATATGAGTATGACAACTGACTATATTACTTATTTTTCGTTGATACGCAGGTAAAAACTGCAGTCCATCCTGAGTAAGAACGCCCTTTTGGAAAGTAAGGCTATGTAAAATTCAATGAAAACTTCGGCTATAATCATATCATTGTGGGAAAATTCAATTACCAGTCCTTCATCACCTTTAACGAAATAAGGTGAGCACATAATATATATGATTTACTGGTAGTCTCGAGACCCTACTTATGAACAAAAAAAGAAATGTAGTCGATTGTCACAGCAAATATAACTTTGTTTCATCAACAATCTTACCAAAGAATATGATATGGGAAAATGCCTGGCCTTCCTTGAAATTCACATCTACCTGTGACCCAAAAGCACTTGTGGAAATGTGGCGTAGTGGTTAGCGTGTCGAGATTACACGCTGCACTCTCACAGTTTTTCACTCATTGGGGGTGTTGATAAGACCTTGGCGAAGACAAAACTACAATCCACCCTGAATGAGAACACTTTTTTGGAAAGCACGGCTCGAATCATATCATTTTGGGAGAATTCAACTACCAGTCTTTGATCACTTTAAACGAGATAGGATGAATACATCTCATATCTAAAATTAGAAAAGAGCGCGAATTTAACATTGCATTTACTATCGAACACATATGACTAGGCGATTCTCACTTCACAACATTCAAAATATAAGGACCAAGAAACTAAGAAAACCAAATGGCCTGGCAGACAGCCTGTTTAGCTTATTTCTGTCTAAAATTTCCTCCGGAAACCCTAATATAAAGCAATGTTCTCATTTATGAGAAGCTTGTAAGACTGTAGGGTTAACGTAATTGAGACGTCATAGTTTATTAAACTATGAAATTTAACCATCCTGCTTAACGCCGCCTTATATTATTTATTTTATTCTGGATAAATATATTGTCACTCAATCAATTTCATATACCTTTTATCCTTCTGCAGATGTACAGCAATTCTAGACAATGAATATTCCCCTAATTAGATTAATAGAGATAAACGAGAGACTTGAAATATAAAATAGACCCAAAATGCCAGATTATCTAAGACGCCCTAATAAAACAGTATTAAGAGATCCCAAAAAATTGTCTAGGTACGTGGAAGAGGATAGACTGCACTAAAATTGCTTCAAAATAATACATCTCATATGTAGAATCTACTGATGGTTTTGAAAACCAACTTATCAAAAAACAAATCATGTCTGTTCTCGCCAATCAAAGTTTGATGACGACCATCATTCCCGCTCTATATATTTTAACTATCATTCCGAATCGAAGGTATAAAGACCTAGATGTTGTGGCCTTTTGTGTGGTCACAGTCTCCTTTTGTTGTATAAAAGTTGTTTGACCTTGTTTTCGCAACATGGTCATATTGGTAGGAAGACTTAGAGGAACACACCTAGTCCGGAGTCCATTGTCTGCATGATTATTTCCAAAGTTGAACCGTGGAGGTGGTATTTTCCCAGACGTTTCGCTGGCATCGTCAGTGAGTCTCGCTATTCTTAACACCATAGTACAGCTCGTCAAAGAGACAAGTGAAGCCCATACTTTGACCAAAACGAGTGCTAAACAGTTGTGGTATCTCCCCTAGGCTATTCACATTTCCTATATTCTCCTATCACGCCTTCCCTGTCACAATTTTTACTGTGCTTGTTTTGATGTAGTGTGGTATGCTCCTTCGAGCGGCATGCATGAAAACCCTTCACACTCCACGCTGTCGTTCTCACCCCCTTCACCCTTGTGCTGGGAATGTTGACCAGAGTCTGTTATCTTGTTACGTAGTCCTTCCCTGGGTTCTATCAGTCTTTCTCTTGCCCCGTAGAATCAATCTGCTATTTCCCTGGTAACGTATTTCACTCGACCCCTGTCTCCCCATCTGTGCTACCCGAGGCGTTATTCGCGCAACCCTGCGTATGGATGACTAAATCGAGGCTAAAGCCTCTGAGTAAGTCTCATGGTCATGCTTTTGCTACACGTACCACGTCTCTAAACCTACAGACATACCGTCAGCCAACTAGTTCCGGTCCCCGCCATCTCTATACTGTTTCTATCGCTAATACCAAGTCTGACTTGCCATGCCCTAGTCTCTTGTGTGCCAGCCCACAAATGTTGTGGTACAGCTTGTTTTGATTTGGTTGAATGTTGAAGCACAACATTTGTGAGCTGGCACACAAGCTGTACAACAACATTTGTGGGCTGGCACACAAGAGACTATGGCATAGCAAGTCATAGACTTGGTATTAGGGATATAAACAGGATAGAGATAGCGGGGACCGGAGCTAGTTGGCTGACGGTATGTCTGTTGTACCAGAGACGTGGTACATGTAGCAAAAGCATGATCATGAGACTTACTCAAAAGCTTTAGCCTCGAAATAGTCACCCATACGCAAGGGTGGGCGAATAACGCCTCGAGTAGCACAGGTGGGGAAACAGGTTTCAAGTGAAATACGAGTACCAGGGAGATAGCAGACGGATTCCACGAGCCAAGAGGGAGACTCTGATAGGACCCAGGGAAGGACTACGTAACAAGATAACATACTCTAGTCAAAATTCCCAGCA